GCGCGTGCGTTTGTCATTGCATCATCTCATTTGTTGGAGTTGTTGGTTCACATCAATCATCGGTTTTCGATATCTAAAATTTCTGACACATTAAATGGGAAATAATCCATTTTTGGCATTTTTTTAGCCCCTGGATTTTTGATATAATAATCTTCATCGCTATAATATGGCCGTTTTTTGATTACATTATCAATCGAGGCATCGCCAATACTGTCAAGAACATTTTTCAACCTATTTTTTTCCCAAAAGTTGGGATTTGCATCTCTGATAATGGCAAATGATGCCTGAGAGGAAAAAATGGGTCCAAAGTGTTTTTTAAAATCCTCTTTTGAAATTACCAAAACACCTGATTCATGCTTTTCCTTCTTATATGGTTGCGAAGTAAAAATAATTGTAATAAGAATATAATTATCATCATCATCATCAACAGCAGTATAAAAACTCTTTAGATTTTTCTCATCTATTTTTTCAACTTTACTTTCGGGCATCTTTTTTAAAACGTAATCCCATTTGCACTGGTTCGACATTAGGAATTTTTTAAATTCAATACGTATAAGTTTTCTGACAAGAAACACGTCAGCAAACAGAGCACTACTACCATTGATAATTACTACATTATCACTCTGCCAGTTTATTATTTTACCATCATGTTTTTCTGTTAATGGATTAGTGTGCGGAAATTGTTCATTTGCTTCATATACACGAAGGGTTTCAATTCTACGCTCACATCAAAGTTAACATCCAACTTATCAGCATTAGGATATAATTCTCGTAATATCATTGTAGTCTTTTCCATTTTTATCGCCAGATTAGTACGAAATGCTTCATGGTATACCACAAACACCTTCCATTCTTTCCAATATATGCGTTTATCATAGAACAAGTGAACAAGTGTAGGTTTAACAATACACAGAACGTCATTATATAAACAGATAAAATAGAAGGGCATATTAATAAGGAACAAATTGCATCCGTCAGATTGTTCAACAGATGAGAGAATAATATTTTTATTACGTTCTAGGCTTCTGATTGTAAGAGCTGGATTATTATCATCCAAACATTTATTAGGGTCAATGGCAATACCTTCAATGCAAAAATATATGAGCTTCATAGCAACATTTCTGTTATTTTCAACATAGTCTTTTATGCCATACTGTTTATCAAGACTGTTCTTGACTTTGATGAAATTGTCTACAAACTTAATATCTTTTTTTTCAAGTTTCTCAAAAAATTTTCTCCCCTGTTTACCATCTGCTCCAAAGCAGACGATAAAGAGTCGTTGAAGTGCGCGTGGCAACCCACCAGTATCTCTCAGAAGCTGAAGCATTTGACGACAATATTTCCATTTATATGCATAATTTGCAATTCCCGCATTGAATTTTTCTGCAAAATGATCTGTAATCCGAATAATAGATTGATTATTCAATAATGAACAATCAATAAACACGAATGAAATTCTTGAAGCTTCTTTTTGTTCAATGACAATATTATGGATCATATTATAGAAGAGTTTTGTTGGTAAATTCGACTTATCTTCTTTATCCCATGAATCAATAAGTTGCTCAATATGAAGATATAGGAAAAATAAGTGTTTATCAGATAGATTTAGGGCTTTGCGAATTTCTCCAATAATAACATTAAAATAAAAATTATTAAAGCTGTCCTTATATTGTTCAGTACGATGTGGAATTCTTGAAACGTCATTCCATATTCTTTTTCAATAAAAAACGCATGCACAATTCGTAAGCTGATAATTATAAATGCATCTATGCCATAATCTTGTCGAGTAAGTCTGTGACCATTTCCAAAGTCAATACATAAGTATTCAAAATGTGTATTAGTTCTTCTTCTGTCATGAGGAATTTTACAATCATTGTAAATATTCTGAATATACTGAGGCATGTCTTTTCTGACTTGATTAAAAAGCTCCTGCCCAAATCGAGTTTTACCTATTTACAAGATAATGAGTAACTGATACAAATTGTTTACTAGGAAAAGTATAAAGAAACAATACCTATCCCCAGGGCTTCTCCACTGTCAAGAACCCAGTAGTTCGATTTTCCATCTTGGCCCGTAATATTATTGTATATTGTCTCATTTACATAACTCATTGACCCTTTGAAGTTACGTTGTTGCAATGGCATGCTTAATACATCAGGCAAATTAGGTGTATCCTTTAATGCATTCTTTTTAATAACCTCAATAATTTCCTTAAATGAAAGAGATGCTAATCAAAAAAAAAATCAGGCAAAGAAATGAATGTAAATGATATAATCTATTTCTTATTCGATTGGTAAAACGTTAAGAGACACTTACCAGCAGCAGCGGGCAATTGTACAATGACGTGAATGTTCTCATCTACAAGCAATTGTTCAAAAAAAACTTTCTTAATCAAGAATATGGGTATCAACTGCTCGCCTCCAAATTTTTCTATAATATCATCTTTGGTAGTAACATGTTTAAGTTTGTCTCTTTCACCGTAAGCGATGTCGACCTTTCAAAGGTCAATGTACTTATAATTAAACTTAATATCATGATTAATCTCATTATAGACAAGAAACTTGAGGTCTGAAATCTTTAAATCATCAAATTTAACCAAAAAACCATGAATGTTGCTTTCTTTAGCAACGTTAACCACAAAAGTATCAACAAAAGAAGTCATTCCTAGGAGTAAACAATTTATTGACACCATCATTTCATTTGAGAGATAATTCTGTAAAAAAAAGAATTTTTAGGTGTTTTTTAGTGTGAGAGAAATTTTGAGGATATATATTTACTTGTAAAATCCTTTCTGAATTCATCAAATGATTAATAATAAAATAGATTCTTGATCAGTGGTAATATGATCAGTACACAAAAAAAATAATTAGTACAGTTTTATTTTTACTCATTAGAATTTTGATTCTCCCAGGGTATTTATAAAAAAAAGTGAATTAACAGTTACGCAAATTTTTCGGTTGTACGAGGTTGTATTTGATTAAGTATGGAAATGTAATGACTTATGCCCTATAAAAAAAGTTTGTGCTAAATTTGTACCAAATGGGTTAATCATATGATATTTGTTTAGAATTTGTTCAAATTTTATATTATTTTTTAGTACAAATTTCGAATAAATATTGCATGATTAGTCCATTTGGCACAAATTTAACTTTTTTTATAGGGATGTACTAGGCTACTTGCCTATTTCATAAATGAGTTTTTTTTTTATGGAATGAGAGATAAATTACTAATTGTGAGTATTGTATTACCAGCTTAATGTACCATTACTAGTATATATAATTTTCACTGAATTGGACTATCTTGACTATCTTGTACAACTAGTGCTTCGATCTGGATGAAAACCGTCATTTAGATCACCATACTACTCTCGGATGCAAATTATTTTGATCGGCAATCTGAATTTCCTTTTATGATGTACTTTCCGAACACTATTTTTACAATACATTTATTTTATACATAAATAAAAGTCCAGCCGTTGTAAACGGCCGAATATCAAGCATGAAAATATGATAAAATTTAATCGCCAAATGTAATTACCAAACATTAAGAACGAACAAATTAATTATGAATTGGCGTGGATGGATAAATAATTAGCCGAAAAGGATAAACATTTAGAAAGAGTAATGATCTACATGATGTAATATTTATTGAATGATTGACAAGGAACCAATAGGATAAATAGGGTCGATCAATTGTGGCTTAGCAATCTTTAACAATAAGAACGACAAGAAAGAATAATTATAAGCCACAAAAGATAGATTATAAGCAAAACACATAAAGGGGATTAAAAGAACATATAAAATAATGTCGGAAAGATTAAAGAATACAAAATAATATGAAAGATAATATGAAAAGATAGTATAAAGAAGGAATATAAAAGATAACATATTAAAAAGAACATATATAAAAAGATAGCACAGCCATAAAAGATGGGTTATAAATTATTTCTTTACGATGTAATATTCGAATAATAGAAAAGATAATATATAAAATAATATATAAGATAGTATATTAAAAGATAGCGTATTTAAAATATAGATAGTATATTAGAAAGATAGTTCAAAGATAATATGTAAAGAACATAAAAGATAGTATATAGATAGAATAGAAAGTAGCATAAAAATTGTATATATAGAGAACGGAATTCAAAGTAATTCCATAGTTCTCATCCACAGATCTCAATAAAATATAAGTTTCACTTAATTATTCGTTAATGAAGTTTAATATTAATTAAAGAATTAGATATATGTTTTGAAAAGTGATAATTCGTAGCGAGAGCTATTGAAGTTTGAAACTAAAGGTGAAAGTGGATATAATTTGGGGAAAATTCAGAGAAGTTAATTTTATTTTATTTCGTTCAACGTTTTATATTACTAACGCTATTTATGTTAGGAACCAAGAATGTTGTTGTATGTTGTCGTATATTGTTCGTTGAATGTGTTGCTTGTTAATTATGTTGTTGATTGATTGCTCGCTCGTTTAACTGCTCGTTCGTTCGCTTGTTTGTTCGCTCATTCATTCGTTCGACCATGAGAATGCCCGTTCGATGTGGCAACCTTGTAAATTGATGACAGGGGAATTGGGGGATCTCGTATGGTGCATGCTCCGAGAAAGGAAATGATCATCATCACATGATTATTATTATAATGAATATGAAAATTTAATTTCGTTAGTAAGTCACTGATAGGTATTATTAATCAATATTTTATTTTTAGAATTTATTTTTAGATTTCAGGTTTTGACGAGTTCAAAAGGAACCAATAAATCAACAAGGATTTAATTGAGTTAAAAACTTGTAAAGGTGAAAGATTGTAGTTTGTTGTTGTGCAAGTAATCATTTAATCGATAGAAAGCACAAGAATATTTCTTTCGGGAATAAAGTACCTGAGAAATTTCATAAGGAGATGGAAAAGTGAAAGATAAATTTTGGAATAAAGATTAATAATGGGATAACACCAATGTATTATCTGGGGTTCATCTGTGTGGTATGGGTTACCTCTGAGTTTGGATTTCGGATAAATGCTCAAGATTGGAAAATTTTTATTCTTCGACATTAAAGATTATAACGTATGGGTTACGTCAAATCTGGATACCCAGCTCAATAATGCGCAAATTGCTTTGGGGACGGGGAATTAATATTGTAAAGACACCTACTATCAAGAAACATTGAAAGAATAAAATGGGACAAACCTGTAAACTATCATGCTTTTACCCAATGGGAAAAAGATAGAGATAAGCCCAGTATAGGTCCACCAATTTAAGAAAGTTGGTTTAGATGAGTTTTGAGGATAGCTGATGACTTTTGAAACTGGATTTTGGAAGGTTAGATTCACCCGTTGAGAAACAAGTCGGCCAACAAAGAAGGAAAAGATGGATACGTTGTATTGTTACAGGTTCTAGGCTACATTTCAGATGAGGGTTCCTGGTGTAGTGTCCTAGTTCACGCTCTCATTACAATGTTCCGTTAAAAGAAGATAACGTAGAAGGATATTTACACATTAACAAGCCGTATAATGAACATTACGTGCAGTATTTAATAATAGAGTAAAATCCGAAAAGAAGGACATTTATTTAAAAGAAGAACATTTATTTGAAAAAGAATATTTATTTGAAAAAGAACATTTATTTGAAAAGAAGGACATTTATCTGAAAAGAACGACATTCTGTGTATCATAGATTAATTTATATAATATAGAATATATAGTAAGAAGGATTTATGTGGACGATAAGAAAGATTGAAAATTCACAAACCTTAAAAGTTATGAAAATTTTGGAGTTTGTGATATGTGAAATTATGGATCGTGGTGACAAAAAGAGGTGATAAGTGAAATTATGAATCACGGTGACGAAAAGATGTGACATGTGAAATTATGGATATCGGTGATAAAAGATAAATTTCATGGCGCAGTAAAAACCTCCGCAGCCTGAGGAGATTGTGGACTTAGAAAAATTTTTGAAATTTTAAGGCGCAGTAAAAATCAATAGTAAAATATGGCGTAGTAAATATATAGAACAGAAAGATGGAATTTAAAGATTGAAAGAAGTAATCTATTTAAAGATAAAAGAATGTTTAGAAGATCAAAAAAATAGAAATGATAAGAGTGAAATATATATATAGAGAGAGGAATCCGATTAAGATTCTGGATGAACGATTACAACAATGGAATGGTACGAAACTTGGAGAGTTGATTACGAAAATCACAAATTAAGACATGATGAAAATATCGGAAATATAGATATAGACGAATTAAGAGGAGAAAATATAACATGTGAAATATGTTATCCAATAAGAGATATACCAGAAGTTTTCAAGAAATTTTGGAAAATATTGCAAAAATTTGAATATACGATAAAAGATTATAACGCAGAAACTATAAGAGCGTTATTAAATTTATTGAGTATAGATAGTGAAGAAAGAAATAATTATACAAAGGGAAGGACTAGAGATGCATTAGATGTAATGGTCGAATCGATAAGATACTTGAAACAACCAGTATTAAGAGAAAAAGGATTAAAGATAATAATAATAGTGATCGTGAGAGATTGTATAGAAAATGATAAAGAAGATGAAACAATGGACAGATTGATAGGGAATGAAGAATTAATAAGATATGGTTATATTTTGGAAGATTGGGATGTTAATATAAGATTTAGGGAATTTTATGAATGGTATAAAGAAGCTATAACAAATTTTATAGAATGTAAAGATAGCACTATTAGAAGATATAAAAATATATTGTATGAAGAAGCTGAATTAAAAGAAGACGAGTCGACAGAAAAGATAGAAGTGTTCAAACAGAAGATTAGATTAATGTTGCACACAATGCACATAAGAGTTCGTGAACATGGTTGGGGAATTAGTAAAGAAATAGTTGAAAAAGTTTATGATAAGATTAGGGGGTTTGAGCAATTAAATATAGATGAAACAGATAGTGATGACACACCAAGAAGTTATACTATAACAGAAACAGATGATGGGAAAGAAGAAAATTTACCAATTAGTAAAAATAAAGAAATGTCAGATGAGGAATCTGATGAATCTAATGAATCTAATAATGTTAAAGAAACTGAAACGACGAAGATATTCGAAGAAATAATTAGAATGGATTTGAGAAGAATGGGATATGATGTAGAAATAACAGAAATTGAAAGAATAAGAAAATTTGGAGTAACTGCAAAGATAATAACAACATATGAATTTATGAAGAAATATTTAACAATATGGAATCTTGAAGATGAAGAATTAGATGAACAAATATTACAATGGAGAGTTGAAAACACAAAAGAATGCGAAAGATGTGAAAGAGAGAGATTAAAGAAAGAATTTAAAAGCGGAAAAGAAATTTGCATAGAATGCGAGAAAGATGTTGAAAAAGAAAATCCAACAGATGACGAAAAGGAAATGGAAGAGGATATAAAAGGATCCGAAATTGGCTCAAGTAAAAAACCAAAAAGTAAAGAGGAAAATAAAAAATTAAAGGAAATACCTATAATACCAATAATACCAGCACCACCAATAAAACCAAAGATAACAATGGCAGCATCAAGAGATGAATTCAGAGCAGATATGAGAGCATTAATGAATACTATGTATGGTCATGATATTGGGCTAGATTGGAACAATTTAGCAGTACCACCAGTAACATTGACAGGATTACAAGGAGAAGTTCAAGCGAATGCTAATGCGATAGGAAATTTAAATGTGAATAGGGGAGCTATCGTGGAACTACCAGCATTTTATGGTACCAGTGGAGAAGATCCAGAAGAATGGGCAGATAAATTTGAGGAGGCATTTACAGCGAATGGTTTAGGGAATGATGATGTACAAAAATTTAGAATAGCAAAAGCAAGATTAATGGGAGGAGCAGCAGATTGGTTAAAGACTGAAGGAGTAAATATTGTCGATTGGAATGTTAATGGAGATCATAATTTAAGATTAAGAGTAAGAATAATTGGAAAGTATGCAAGTGATGAAATTAAAGATAGATGGCTAGAACAATTAGAAAAGATTAGACAGGGAGACGAGAATGTAACTCAATACCTTACGAGATTTAAATATATATTAAAGAGAGCGGGAGGTGATGCAGCAGTAGCAGCGAACCAGCAAAAGAGAATTTTTAAGAATGGATTAAAACCGGACTTTACTAAAGACGTAGTAATGGAAAATCCAGCGGATTTAAATGCAGCATTTCAGATAGCAAAGAACGTAGAAAGAGGTTTAGAAGCGTTAGCAGATAAAGTACAACCAAAAGAGTTTAATAATGAACAAAGAAGACAAGAACCTATTGTTCAAGGGAATGTAGGAAATAAAGAAGTAAGTGTAGATGAAGTAACAAGCAGTTTTGCGAAGTTACAAATTAAGACGTTAGAAGATGAGAATGAAAGATTAAGAAATTTAGCGAGTCAGAGTTATAGGCGATTGCCACAAAGAAACCAATCAGTACAGAGAAATCAACCAATTCAAAGAAATCAGTCATTCCAAAAAAGAGTACCGATATGCTACACATGTGGTAGAGCTGGTCATTATTCAAGAGAATGTCCAGAGAGAAGAAGGAATGTAAGATTGAATATGATAGATGAATATGACGATCAAGAAGAATACGATTATGATGGATATGAATATGGGGAACCACAATACGGTGAAATGTATTATACACAAGGTTATTACGATGATTACGAAGACGGAGAATTGAATTATTATAATGAATTGTATGCAAAAGATAACGCAGTAAAAACAAGAAGACAAACAAGAAGGACGAGTCCAATAGTGGGATATAAGAATAATAATGAAGAAGGAAATTTACAAGAAGAATTAAGAGAAGCGGGAAATAGAATGGATGATAGAGAAATACCAAGTAGAACAACAACACCAAGATATACGCCCGAAAGGACAGAACAAAATAATGTACACAGAGATAGTCAAAATTGGAATAATCCAATAGGACCAGAAAATTATAATTATGGTCGTCGACCCATGACAAAAGACGGAAGATTTTATAAACCAATGTTCACAAAAGAAGGCAAAGCATTTTACCCTGGAATGCGGCAAGACGAATCTGGAAATTGGGTTAAAACAAAGCCATCAGGAACAGGAAAGCCCAGAGAATATGGAGTGAGATTAACTGATGGAATACCACCTTACGACATTGTGGGAGACGTGAAAAATTGTAGAGCGAATATAACGTTTGGACAATTAACAAATGAGAATACTAAGTATCATAAGCAATTGAGGGAAGGAACATATAGACCAAGAAGTATAAACGAGAAAAATTGACTACACTCGGTGGGAACTATGAAAAATGAGGAAAAGAGAACTACAGCAATGAGAACAGAATTAGAAGTTGAAGATCAATTAGTGAATGTAATAATAGATACCGGAGCAGCAGTAAGTGTGATAACAGATAAATTAAGAAGAAGATTGAATATACCTATATTTGGAAAAAGTAAATTTAGATGTACAATAGCAAATGGGCAAAAGATAGCAGCATTAGGAAAGGCAAATATAACTTTAAGATACAAAGATTAATTAGAGATACTTAAAGAAGTTGAAGTAATCGATTCAGAAGAAGAGGATCTAATTTTGGGAAATGATATATGGAAGCTGTATAATGCAAAAATAAATTTTGAAGATCATACCTTGAGAATAGAAGAACAGGGAGAAATAATAACGATTCCAGTAGGATATGAAAGAGAAGTAGCATATGAAAGTGAGGAGAGTGAGGACGATGAAGAATATGAAAGTAATGATGAAGGAGAGGTATTCAGAATGCACCAGAATTTTAAATAGATAGTCTTGGCTCTGAAGAGAGAGAGACGGAAAAGATGCTTGAACCAAGTGGAAAATTTATGCAAAAATTAAGTATAGGGAAGGTAGGAGAACCAATTTGGGAAAATATGGTAAAATTACTATTAGAATACCAAGATATTTTGGAATATGACAAAGAAATAGAAGGAAGGACAAAAGCGGCGCAACATGAGATAAAAATAAAAGATGGAGTAGAACCGATAAAGCAAAGAAGATACAAAGAAACAGATGAAAAGGCAAAATTTATAAGCGAAGAAGTTGATAAATTGTTAATACAAGGAAGGATAAGGAAATCAAAAAGTCCATGGAGTTCACCGGTTACATTAGCAGGAAAGAAAACGGGAAAATATAGATTCTGTATTGATTACAGAAAGTTAAACAAGATAACTATAATGGATAGTTTTCCTTTACCAAGAATGGATGAATTACTAGATAAATACAGGAAAGCAAAATGGTTTTCAAGTATAGATTTAGCAGCAGGATTTAATCAAGTAGAAATGAAAGAAGAAGACAAAGAAAAAACAGCATTTGTATGTTCAAAAGGATTATTTGAGTATAATGTAATGCCATTCGGTTTAACTAATGCACCAGTTACATTTCAAAGATTAATGGATGAAATATTAGAAGAATACATAAATGATTTTTTTGTAGTATATATTGATGATATTATGATATATTCAGAAAATTTAAAAGACCATATGGAACATGTGGAAAAAGTATTAAAGAAGTTACAGGAGAATAATTTAATAATAAAATTAAAGAAATGTAGATTTTTGAAAAGAAACATAGAATTTTTAGGACATATAGTAGGAAATGATGGATTTAGGCCAGACGATAAAAAGATAGAAAAGATAAAAGAAATGAAGGCACCAACAACAGTGAAAGAAGTAAGATCATTTTTTGGACTTTGTTCATATTACAGAAAATTTGTGAAGAATTTTTCAAAGATAGCAAGACCAATAAGTGATTTGAGAAAGAAGGGAATACCTTTTATTTGGGGAAGAGAACAACAAGAAGCATTTGAAAAATTAAAAGAAAAGTTAATACAATATCCAATATTGCGACATCCAGATTGGAAGAAAGAATTTCTATTAATAACAGATGCATCAGGAAAAGGATTAGGTGCAGTATTAAGTCAAAAAGATGAAAAAGGAAAAGAAGTAGTAATAGCATATGCAAGTAGAAGTTTATTACCAGCAGAAGAAAATTACCCGATAACAGAATTGGAA